ACCACCTCCCTAGGTAACACATTCCAGTGCTTCGCCACCCTCCTAGTGAAATAGTTTTTCCTAATATCCAACCTGGACCTCCCCCACTGCAACTTGAGACCATTGCTCCTTGTTCTGTCATCTGCCACCACTGAGAACAGCCGAGCTCCATCCTCTTTGGAACCCCCCTTCAGGTAGTTGAAGGCTGCTATCAAATCCCCCCTCATTCTTCTCTTCTGGAGACTAAACAATCGCAGTTCCCTCAGCCTCTCCTCATAAGTCATGTGCTCCAGACCCCTAATCATTTTTGTTGCCCTCCACTGGACTCTTTCCAATTTTTCCACATCCTTCTTGTAGTGTGGGGCCCAAAACTGGACACAGTATTCTAGATGAGGCCTCACCAATGTCGAATAAAGTGGAACAATCATGTTCCTCGATCTGCTGGCAATGCCCCTACTTATACAGCCCAAAATGCCGTTAGCCTTTTTGGCAACAAGAGCACACTGTTGACTCATATCCAGCTTCTCATCCACTGTGACCCCTAGGTCCTTTTCTGCAGAACTGCTACCTAGCTATTCGGTCCCTAGTCTGTAGCAGTGCATGGGATTCCTCCGTCCTAAGTGCAGGACTCTGCACTTGTCCTTGTTGAACCTCATCAAGTTTTTTTTGGCCCAATCCTCTAATTTGTCTAGGTCCCTCTGTATCCGATCCCTACCCTCTAGTGTATCTACCACGCCTCCTAGTTTAGTGTCATCTGCAAACTTGCTGAGAGAGCAACTGATTGTTCCTTCCTAAGTGGAGCACTTTGCATTTGTCTTTGTTAAACTTCATCCTGTTTACCTCAGACCATTTCTCCAATTTGTCCAGATCATTTTGAATTATGACCCTGTCCTCCAGCACATGTCTGTGTGCTATTCCTAAATCCTGACAGCCTAGGAAATGGGTCAGCAAAACCTGACTCACTTTCAAATCCTTGGATGCGAATGTTGCCTATGGTGTTTAATTTAGTTATCTAAACACTTCATTTTATCTAGTAAGGGAAAACAGCTCCACTCCGTGATATGAAAGTCCACAAGAGAAGGAGGAATTCTTGCCATACAGAACTCTGATTTGCAGTTGGCCTAGCTGAACCTAGTGCTTGTTGTGACAACAAACTGAATATCCAATAAACACTGAGTGGGATCACACAGTGACTAATAGTCATCTCTGGAGGCTGCTAATTTTACTATTAAAAATCTTCTGTTCTTTTGCTAGGGCACTGGGAATTTAAAAGACAAATATAGAGTCTTTTGACAGTTTAATGCAAGCAAGCTTTCCTCTTTAAACCTGTTACCACAGTTACATTTCATTCTAGGATTAACAACCATAAAAGAGACAAAGAAAAAGAATTAGAACAGGCACAATAGGTTCAACTCCATCTCTGGCTACAAAACACTTTCCTTCATTCTCCATCCATATCCTCTCAGATACAATACCTGACTAAGAAGCAGCTCTCACAGGTGCTGACAGGATTTTAGGGTCCTGTTTAATTCTCCAAGGTCATAATCTCTCTTGAGCAGCCATTATGAATGTATATGTAAAATCCTTTTTATTCATCAAGCATGGGTTGATTAACTTCAGTTTATACCTCACCAGAGCCACTGAATCCATTTACCAGAGAATGCATATAGTGTCCAGTCTGCAAGCCTGGTTTCACCATGGCAAGGAAGGAAGAGCAAAATAAAGGCAGAGAATGGGAGAAAGGTTCAAGTCAAAGATGAAAGAGATGAAAAAAAGTCCCAGAAGCTAAGAATACTGCTTAACAAACAATCACTAGCACCGACTGCAATAAAAAATCAATCCTTCCTGACTCAGCCTTCATAAGAAACTTAAGCACTAGTAAGGTGTTATCATACCTGAATCACATGTGTGCTTTACTGTAAAAAGAATGCTCTATAGTAGCTAGCACTGTACAGTACAAATAAACTTGCTTGTTTTCACACTCTCTGGCTTAAGACTATTGGGAAGAGACTTCAGGTACACACAACATGCAAGATAAACTGTTCAAAGTTTGTTGTGTCCCTTTGTATTATTGCGAGCGTGTAGTCCCATGGGATTAATTTCTTGGCCCTCTGCTCCTTCCTATCTATCTTCTCCCTTTTGGTCATCTTGGTCTATCTTTAATCTTAGCTATTGCTTTTACAATGACAATGGTAACACAACTGTACATGCATTTTGACACCTCCATGTCCACCCTTGCTACTTGTTTTGACCAAATTAATTTGTGGCTTCATCTGAACTTCCTTCATCTAAGTGCTTCAAAGAGAGAAACATTAGACATATCCTCCAATGTAACGCTGTATCGTCTGTCACCACTCTTTGCTCAGACCCCCATTTGCCACTACTGTCCATGTCTATAACACCTTTACTATTGCAACAGCCTTCTCTATGGCTTCCACAAGCCCAGGCCACCAGATTGCAGCATCTGCAGTATAATACTTTCTCTAGTATAGTTTTTCCGTGAGTGCATTACTTAACTCTTTGTAGCATTTTGGGACCCGGATTGTATTCAGATATTACACAAAAAGAAATCTGATCTGCATTACACTGTGCACACAATTAAAAGGGAAAAGACTGCTGGAATCTTTTCTGCGGCCCATGGTGCTTTCACTAAGATGGGAATTCTCTTATGAACAGAGAGAGAGAGAAAGAGAGAGAGAGAGAGAGAGAGAGGCTCACCTGTTCCATTGACCATGTCACACTGGCCAGCCCACATGGAAAGAGTGCTTTAACGAAAAACAAAAACAGTTCCTGGTCATGCCACATGCCATGTATTGTTTAATGTAATCTATTTCATTACCCAATTAGCTACATAGGCCCTGCTATGTAGTTGCAATCACTCACTGCTGAAGCAGGGCCTATGTAACTTAACGGGGATGCTTTCAATATAGAGAAGTCCCCTCCTTGATGCAGGGGGCTGTGGTTTTGGTTTTTAGTTCAGATGCAGAATGTTTCAGAGTGAATCACTTCACTTGCTCTTCTCATCAAGGTTTTGGGCCTGAAACGCCTCAGTTACACCATTATAGCCCCACTGACTTTGCTGTAACTATTCATGATGTAAGTGCAAGGAGAAGCGGGCTCTGAATTTGTTCTTCCTTTGCATGCTGTTTCCTTTCATCTGAAATAAATGTAATCTCAGCTTTTTGATCTTTGCAAATAGGGAAACAAAATGAAGAAATCTGAGATTTCCTGGTTAAAAAGAAAAGCATAAAAGGCCCAATGGCCACTTATGGAAATAAGAATTCCAATTTAATGAAATGGAAGTCTTTCAAGTGTAGGTCCAAAAGTTTCAACAGTATTTTTATTTACTTGCTTATTTTATTTACATTTACATTTGAATCCCTCTGTTTCCTCACACTGGCGGGGTATTTGATAGCATATAGAGACTTGTCTTAAACAGAGATCAGGTGAGATGGAATATATGGACTTAAACATGTGCTTCATAAGTATTCACTACCAAAAACAAAGTTTCTAGATGAAAAATATAAACAATATCTATGAAAACAAATGGAATGGAAAATCTCTGAATTTCCACACAACTTGAACAATCCTTCCACTGGTTGTTCTTCTTGTAACTCCCTGTGAGAAGGCCTGACAGATCATATTGTTTTGAGGATAAAGGGATAATAAAGATTGCTGTTAGATACAAAATCCCTGTACCTTCTCAGAAATGTCTCCTGTGACAGTGCATTAGAGCAGTATTTAGATGTATGGAAGTGGACAGAATTCCAGGACCACCCAGAGGATTCAGGGGGCCTGGGGTCTTTGGCCCCCGCTGCTGAATTGCCACCGAAGACCCAGCACTTCAGCCGCGGGCCCCGGAGCGGAAGGACCCCGCGCTGCCGAATTGCCGCCGAAGACCTGGAGCGGAAGAAGCTCCGGGTGCCCAGGCCCCGCAAGAGTTTTCCGGGGCCCCCGGAGCGAGTGAAGGACCCCGCTCCGGGCCCCCCGAAAAACTCTCGTGGGGGCCCCTGCGGGCCCCGGGGCCTGGGGCAAATTGCCCCACTTGCCCCACCCCCCCGGGCGGCCCTGCAGAATTCACAATACACCTACCCCAATGTAATGCAACCCGATATAACATGAATTTGGATATAAAGCGGTAAAACAGTGCTCCGGGAGGGCAGGGCTGCGCACTCTGGTGGATCAAAGCAAGTTCGATATAACGCGGTTTCACCTATAACATGGTAAGATTTTTTGGCTCCCGAGGACAGCGTTATATCGAGGTAGAGGTGTAGTTACAATTGACTTTTCCAGACCAGGCAATTCACAAGGATCAGCAGATTAATCTGCCCCCACCCCAAATTTCCTTTACCAGGTTTGTTTTATATTGTAATGGATGGTTATCACTGTCTGGTCTGCTGTTGCCAGGGCCGGCTCTACTGTTTTTGCCGCCCCAAGCAGCACGCCGAATTGCCGCCGCGGACAGCGGGGGCAGTCCGTGTGCCGTTAAGGCGGCATGCGCGTTTCAGCAGCGGCGGCGGCAATCCGGCAGCAGCTTCTGTCTTCAGCTGGAAGACAGAAGCCACCGAATTGCTGCTGTGGGCAGCTAAACATAGAAGCTGCCACCGAATTGCGCCCCCGTGGCAATGCGCGTGCCGCCCTAACAGCACACGGACTGCCCCTGCCGTCCGCGGTGGCAATTCGGCGCGCTGCTATGGCAGCAAAAACACGCAGACAGCCGCCCCTTGCAGATTGCCACCCCAAGCACCTGCTTGGAATGCTGGTGCCTGGACCCGCCCTGGGTGTTGCTATGACTTTCTAACTTTAATGGCTCCACAATAAAGTAGTCACTCATTCAATGCATTGAAAAAGGTGCAAGAATAGAAAGCAGTGGCAATTTCTTTTGGTATTTTTATCTGGCCAAACTGTATTCAATCATATCCTCTGAAACCAGTGGCATAGGGAAGGGGATTAAAGGGATCCAAACAATTGCAAGGGAAAAGAGAAGCAACTCATTAGATTACACTATCCATAACTCCCTGAAATTCAAGGCCATAATGGACCCATGGTGGGCTAAAAGAGAGACTATGGTTTTGCTGATCCTAGACCTGATCCAGCATTCATTGAAGTAAATGAGTCTTTCAATTGACTACAACGGGCTCTGAATCAGGCCATAATGTCTTGTATAGAGTCACGCACAGAAAATATGCACATTTCTCTTATCAGCAATACTTATGGTACCTTTTGTTTTTATAGGATTGAATTATTGCAGTTTTGCTTATGTCATCTTTCCCATTAAAGACTCTGTACAGTCCGTCAGATGTGCCATTATACTGCAAAAGACACAAGAACAGGGAACAACAGTTTAGTTTTACTGCTCCCAGGACTTTTAGCAAGGTCATATATGAATAATTGTCCTTTATGTTCTTATCTTCTATGAACTTTATGCTCTTCTTCACTGTGCAAACATCAGGTGTGGGTTTTTGTCCTCATATATTTTGGAGTTACGGTTGGGATGGAGATTTTGATGATTGGAATCACCTATTTGTTAATGCTAATAGCAAACAGAAACTAAGCACCTGATTCAGGAAAACACTTAAGCATGTGCTAAACTTGATATACACTAATAGTTCCATCGGGACTTAACTTGCCTCAGTTTAAGCACCTGAATTAAGTGCTTTGCTAAATCAGGGCCTAAAGGGTCAAATCCTGCCCCCAGTGAATAGGTGCACTAGCGTGGAGAGACAGTATAAAGTATTTCTTCTTATCTAAGCAGCAGCTGGGAAAGATTCCAACCAACTAAGTGCTAGAGGAACGACTAGGAAGGTGGATCTCTACCCATATCTGTGGGTGCCAGCCCAGCCAGCTAGTACAAATTTTGCTGTCTGCTGTACATGCTGGCTGGGTATCTATCTTTCTCTCTGTTGCCTCATAGTAGAGGAGCAGACAAATACATAGTAATTCCCAAAGGGATTCTAGCGACAGGACACTTTCTCCAACTCCAGCCACCTACACACTTATCCTTGAAATGTTTGGATGGCTTAGACCTATGCCACTCTGCCTCGTTGCCCCTCCCCTCCCACCCATGACTGTGCCACGCTGTAGCAAAACAGAAGAGAGCACATTCTGCTGATTTTATCAGGTACAAGAATGCCACTGAGAAGTTCTCTTTCCCCACTTCCAAACCATCATCATCATCAGCTCCATTCGTGAAACAGAGTCCACACACACATGGACTCTTGCACAGAGTCCCTATGACTCCAGTAGGACTCTATAAAGAAGCAGGGTCCAGGTGTGGGGGTATTTTTGCAGGATCAGGATCATATGGAACAGGGTTGATGCTCTCCAGTCACTTCCATTGATTATGGCCATTTCTTTTCTCTTTTTGCTTCCCAAGAGAGAATGTCGATATCTGTGAATAGGGGGACATATTAAGGTATGTCTATACTGAGTTTTAAACCCCCCGGCAGTGCATCTCAGAGGAAAGGTCTACTGAATTGGGAATTGCACTATGATGATGAAAACAGCAGCGTAGACATTGTGACTCTGGCTGCAGCCTGGGCTCTGAAACCCACGCCCCTTCCTGGGTGTCAGACCCTGACCTCCAGGTCAAGCCCGAGCGTCTACACATTTTTGCAATTTAGCACAAGGCTCCCAAGCTTAAATTTTACAGACCCAGGCTCTGAGATTCACAGCCGCAGGTTTTAAAAGGCAATGCAGACTTACCTTTAGGTGCTATCTCCCTAACTGCCATTGTCAAGTTGTCCAAGTCTCTTTCCACAGAACATTCACCACAGGTATTTCTCCTCACAGATTTTACTTACAGGGTAGAAGACACCAATTGTTCGATCCACAGGAAATAGTACTTTCTTTAAGAATGGGTCTTCGTAGCCCCAAAGAATTTCTTTCACACTTCTGGTTTGTAGCATGAGCGATTTAGATGACTTGATCCATGTATTTAGCAATATCTGTACAAAAGAGTTTTGATACATGGCAGGTGCGGCCTGCAATAATAATAACAACAGTTAGTATGATCTGGCAGACACATTCAGTGCCAAAGAAGATGTATTCATTATTATTATTTATATATGTACTGGGACTAATAAGTGAAATGTCTATGAAATGGAGTAAGGGGAGAAAGGGCCTTCCCTAACCCTCTGTGCAGCCTGTCCAGAGTGCAAGTTAAGACGTGAGGCATAAGAGCAAGCTGTTAGGGTCACTGCTCCCACACTGCAAGAAAGCGGGTGGGACGGGTGCACAGAGGGTCCGGGACTGGGCAGAGCTTTCAAATTAGCATGTGCTTTGTGGAATTAGGGCCTTGATATGAATTTAGGTGCTTAACATTGTGCATACAGGTTCGAAAATACTAGCCTTGCTTAATATTGCTAAAGCACTTGGATGCTCTCGATTGAAAGGAGCTACTTTTATTTAATTTAGAATTAGAGATGGTTTAAAAAAAACACAAATTTGTCACACACACCCAAAAATTGTCTCCTTTTGGTCAATAAACATTGAAATTCAAACATTTTCAAATGCAAAATGTAATCATGCTGTTACTAGCATTATAATTAAAGTAGCTCCTCAAGGTGCCAAACAGCATGAAGGCCTCTTTTTTTAAGTGCTGTATAAAGACATAGCGAGAGAGTCCCTCATAGTTTGCATAGACAAGATAGACAAAGGGTGGGGAAAACAGAGTGTTGTTATTCTCATTGTACAGATGGGGAACTGAAGCACAGAGAAATCAAGCACAGGTCACATAGACAGTCTGTGGAAAAGTTGGAAATTAAACCGACACCTTGAGAGTCCCAGTTCAGTGCCTTAACTACAGGACTATCATTCAACTCCAGATTCTTCCTCTCTGTATTGCACCGCATCAAGCATACTAGTGTTTGTAATAATAATAATAATAATTAATAAATGGTAGTTGTTTTAATAAGGGGCCGTTTTATAGCATCAGTTTTAAAGCAGTTCTGCTTAAAATCTGGAGATACAAGATAATAATGCAAAGTATTTGTCTTAACTCAAGATAATTCAGCAACAAAGCCAAACGCCAATACAAATATGCATTTTATAGCTTCAGTCAAAGCCAATTGTTCTAATGATATGGAAATACACAAATAATTCAGGCAGACAAAAACAAGTCTAGTACCACTCTACCGATCAGGTCCCAGGCTTCTTGGACAATGTGCTTTTTCTTAAACGGACTGTGATCTCAACAGGACTGATTAGCTCAGGGGACAGTATCCCATTGGCACTAATTGGCACCATTGTTAGCCATTGTAGTAGGGAGGCCAGGTATAGAAAGAGCATGGGATTTGTTCCAGCCTCTGCCTTCAGAGCAGGGTTGAGGAGACTGCCAGAACAGTGTGTAAAACCCACAATGCACTGCTTGCACTGTATCTTGGATAGAGAGGGAATTCCAGTCTTCAGGATAATCAGTTTAATTTCACATTAAAACTGAACAATAAACTCCTCTTGTCCTATGTAGATAAATCCCACGTGAAAGGTTTTGCTGCTGGCTTTGTGTTTTGTCGACACTAATTGGTCCCTGGGCCTGATTTGCATTTACACTAAGAGCACGGTGTAAAGAGTATAAAGGAGCCTTAAATTACATGTAATATATTCCCACTTTCAAGCTGCTTTGACACTGCCAGCGTGGTGCAAAGAATCGAGCCCCCTGTGTTTTAGGTCAATGGAGCCCACCCTGCAGTTTTGTTATTAGCTATAACTTCTCTCCTCTTGCCCTTAATCCTTCAATACCCAGACTGGGATATTATTGTTTCCTTTCTTTACTTACAACAACAGCGAGATTGATGCAGGTAAAGGTGTCATTTTCGGACCCAACTGACATATCAGGCTCGAAACGAGCAACATTTGGCAGCATATAGGACACGGTGTAGTCAGGATGTTGAGTGATATTTTCTTTGGGTAAATATCGCATCCTTAAAATACAAAAAAAAACCATAGTTTAACATTGATTTTAGAGCCATATGGCTCACTGGGCATGACTAGAGCTGGTTTCTCTTGTTTGAAACATTGCTGAAAAGTTTTCCTGAGGAATTTCAAAACTTTCTCAAAAAAAATTTGCACCATTTTCCAACCAGCTCTAACTGTGACAGGGGAAAGATTGTAAATATGTCCCTTTTTGGGAACATCTGCACCACAGTCAGAGGTGTGATGGCAGCATGTGTAGATATACCAATGCTGTCTTTAATCTTGGTAGCTCGGGTACTAAAAATAGAGAAGACATGGCAGCACAGGCTTCGTTGTGGACTAGCAGCCTGAGTAAGCACCCATGGTCCCAGGTAGGCTTGTACAGCTCTCACTGAAGCTGATGCTGTACCAGCTTCACTGCTATTGGTAGCTGTGCTAGCTGGATTTAAGCTAGCTCTGGTATACCTCCATGTGCTGCACTCAGACACCCCAGTTGCATTGTATATACAGACTTAGAATTCCAGGAGTATCTGTGAAAATACTATGTTTCCTGTGAAATATTTTTGCCTCTTCAGTAATTTCTTCAATGCATGATTAGATAGTCCCTCCACACACACACACATACACACTATCTGGATGGCAACAAATATTATTACGTAGCTCTTCAAGTTTTGATCTGAATTAGTTGGAGTTCATCATATCATACATTGTTCAGGTTCTCTGATTGGATGAGCCTCTCTCATGTGTTCAGGGAGGTCAGTAGAAGCTATTATGATTTGTTTTCCTAGGCCATTATGTTGGAAAGTGAGAGATTGTGTCCCCAGAAGACACTGAGGTGGAAGAGGCCTGTCGCCTGTAGTGAATTGGACATAATGACGTGACTAAAGGTTAGGGTGACCAGAGGGCAAGTGTGAAAAATCAGGACAGGGGGTGGGAGGGGAATAGGCGCCTATATAAGAAAAAGCCCCCAAAATCGGGACTGTCCCTATAAAATCGGGGCATCTGGTCACCCTACTTAAGTTAATTATGTACTTACATGCTTTGCTGAATAGGGATGAGCTGCTGAATCTGGGCCTTGGTAAACAAACTTGGGGAAAGGAATATTTTGGTGGTTTGAGTTTTGCAGACTATGTTAACAGTACTTGTGAACCTTCAGGGCCAACATTTTAGCTACAGATGCAACAGCGTTGCCAACTTTCTCAATTTTATTGTGAGTCTCGGCATAATTGATGCTATGAAGATGTGAGACTCCCAGTGGGCTTTTTTTTTTAAGGAAAGTTTCTAGCAGATGGTTGCAGAGAAAAGCATGGAAATGGGACCCTAAAGATTCACAGGAGACAAATAAAAATATATATATTTTTTAATTTCTTATGATTTTTAAGCCAATCTCATGATTTTAGTGGTCCCTATTCTGGATATGCTTGGGGTTGATAATACTACAACAGGTACATCGACAAAATGTGGATGCCCCTATTGTGCCTATAAATGCCCGAATGCTTTCAGGCCTTGATCCAACATGCCTAATCATCAGGCTAGATCGGGGCATCAAGCAAGCTTTCCCACATGAAAATCATATTAATTTGCATTTCACTTCTTATTTATATGTGCCTTTACCCAATTTGCGCACATGAATGCAATGTGATTGTGTGTGTGTGTGACTCTCGCCTGCTGAAGACCAGGGTCTGTCGATGTTATATGTGCAGTGGGTCTATGGAGATTTTAAGGCATACCTGTTATGTCTGTAGCTCTTTCTCATGGACAGTGTATCATTCAGAAGAGCTTTCAGTAACTTTTACAATACTCCTAATACGACATATAACATATTTTGAAAGCGTTTGCCTACCTGTATGTGTAAGGTCCAATTTGTTTGAGTATTGGCCGTGATCCATTCATCACTTCCTGTGGATTTTGCACATCGTAGAACCAAAACTGCCTGTAAACAGGACTCCCTGGCACAACCCAGTTTTCATAAGCTATTGTACCATTTTCGATGACATCTTCCTGCAAGCACAATAGCAAAACTGAAATTAACCACAGCAAAATTGTTGCTCTGAGCACTCCAGGATAGAGAGGAATGATGTTAGGGCAGTAGCCTAGGACACGGGTATTGAACCCCACCTTTCCTACTCTGCTTCAGATTTCCTTATGACCTTGGGTAAGTCACTTACCACTCTCTGTGTTTCTGGTCCCCAGCTGTAAAATGGGGAGAATATTACTAAGTCACAGAGGCATTGTGAAGTAAAACAAGATTGTGAGGCACTCAAATACAATAGTGATGGGTACCTAAGGGTATGTCTACACTGCAATTAAACACCAACGGCTGGCCCATGTCCGCTGACTTGGGCTAAGGGGCTCAGGCTAAGGGGCTTTTTAATTGCAATGTAGATGTGGGGGCTTGGACTGGAGCCCAAGCTCTGGGACCCTCCCCCCTCATGGGGTCCCAGAGCCCTGGCTCCAGTCTGTACTTGAATGTCTACTCTGCAAATAAACAGCCCCTTAGCCCAAGCCCTGCAAGCATGAGTCAGCTGACACAGGTTCAGCCATGGGAGTTTAACTGCAGTGTAGACATAGCCTAAAATAGGCAGTTTAGCCTTTTGTTAACCAGATGGGGGGAAAAAAACAAATCTAGCAACATGTGATAGTAAAGTGTCTGCAAACGGGTGGCAAAAGCGATTTTATCATTCATATGAGGCTTGTGGCAATCATTTCTGATGAAGCTTTAAAAACAGTGGTCTGGCTAGACTATGGAGTCAGACGTACATGAGGATACAATCTGGTCACAGCTGTAAGTCATCAAGAACCTGATAGAACTTCCAGTGAAGTCACTGGGAACCTTACCATTGACTTTAATGGGAGTTGGCTTAGGTTCCAGTACCACATCCTTTGAGTATTCTAGACAAGAAAGTTTAAAATAAAACTAAACTATCCTTAGCATGTTGTTTAAGAAAATCTTTACCTGTGCCTATTGTTCAATGGAGGAATCAAGCTTTAGATATTCAGTAAATTATTTTCCATATAGCAAAGGCAAAACTACTTAGCAAAGAGCTGACTGAATTTTCAGTTTGGCCACTGAACCAAAAAATAAGTAACAAAAAAATTAATTTGGGTCAACCCAAAATGGATTTTTTTCCTTGGTTTTTCTTGCTGAAACAAAAAGTGGGGAAAAAAAATTCAGTTTGAATGGAATATTTAATTTGTCTGAAATGAAACATTTTGGTTTGGGGTAATTTTTAACTTTTTCTTTTTTAAAATTAAGTCTAGCTAAATTTCAAAAGGAAACATTGTTTAGAAATGAGAAGGCAAAACATTTTATTTTGAAAATACCAAAATGAAATGTTTTAACTTTTTCAATTTTTGTTCCCTCTCCTTTTATTTTTGCCAACCAAAAACTACATTTTTTGATGAATAAACTAGTTGCAAAAAAATTGGACACAGCTCTGCTGAGTACCAGTCCTGTGCAATATTAATTAGTTAATTTGCAGCACCCACAGTAGCAGTAAAAACTAAAATGCTGGCATCAGTTCAGAGTGTTGTAAAAGAAAGAAGGGGCTTTTGGGTTAAAATTCTCCAGATTTTCTTTGCATCACAATTTTGCCATTTTGAGCTTGCCCAGCACAAACCAGAACTGCGTAAAGAAAGAATGGCAGCAATTAGGAACCACTTCGTTTAGAAGTTGCCTTAGAGAGCGCTACATAAAGATGTTGCTTAAAATAACTTCTTTGTGTAAATACAGCCAGTTTGTACTCTGATACTCTGATTCATAAATACACTGGTGATAGTTTAAAAGCCTGGGCTTGATGTTTGAATCTCTGCAGTAATTTATGTGCACAGATATTTGTGTGAGAGGGAACAGAAACGCAGCAGCAACAGATCTAACTTTTCAGATTGTACTCTTGCACGGAGAGTCTAAGTCAGACAAAAAAAAAAGAAAGAAAAGAAAAAAGAAAAAAAGAAAACGGAGCCTTTAATATTGTGCAAGCCCCAGACGGCCAGGGATGCTGACACAGCAGTATATTAATCCAGGGGAAAGATCGACCTTCCATTATGAGGCCATTTGCAGGACAGGCACCCGAGGGCCCTGAGATTTCAATAGAACACCAGTTCCCAAGGGTTTCTCGGAGGATGAGCACCTTAAGGTTAATAATTGTCTTCATATTCTTGGGCAGGGGAGGAAGTGGGGAATCCTGGTTATGCTGTTCACAGCGAGTTCCCCATATGACCAGGAGAAGGGAGTTTATGTAAGCGCTGTACAACTCCCTCGGCTCAGAATCGAGCTGTTGCCTGTATTCATCAGCCTCTCGGACTGGAGGTGATTCACCTGTGGGGATTCTGTCCTGACCCCACATATTCCTGCCGTTCTTTTCATTTGTGGAACAGATAGCGCAATGGTTTACAAACATTTAGTGCTGAATCGTCACACTGGCCCTCCCCGTCTCCCAGGAGGTAGGTACCATGCCAACTTTGCAGAAGGGGAGACAATTGCAGAAAGGGTAAGAGACTTGATTAAGGCCTGGTTTATGCACAGTTTTTGTACTAGTATAACAATTTCAGACAGGGCTGTGATCATTACACTAGTACAACCCCTGGTGTAGCCACGGTTATGCCAATATAATGGTGACTGTACCAGTATAACTACATCCACTAGGAAGGTCATACCACTCTCATTATACAGTATAATTAAAATAGTCTGATTTTTGTGTAAAGAGACTATCGGAGGTGGGATTGTAATGCAGGAGTCCCTTGCTTTCAGACCCATGTTTACTACACAACGCCAAGCTACTTCTCGTGCTATTAGGCTGTATCCAGGAGACCACACTGGCTTCGCCGCAACCTCCAGCTAAGAGATAACTGGCAGAGGTTCTAGCCACAAAAAAGGCAGGATAATGAATGCACATTAGCTCTCCTGCTGTAAAATCCTAGTGGAGATAAAGCACCTGTAGTTTTTACCATGATGTAGCTCAGTGAACACAACACTATATGTGTACCTGTGGTTGTCGTTGCCTAGTTAACCTTATGGAAAAGCCTAATCTCCACTAGCATTTTACAGCAGGAGAGCTAACATGCATTCGTTGTCCCATGATAATACCTCACCTCTTTTGGCAGTGAAGTCAGAGCCTCCAAAGCACTGCATCCCAAAACCACTAACTGGTCTGTTCTCCCTCCATGAACACATGGTGACAGGTTTCAGTAGGTCTGAAAATCCAGCCCTGTGTGGCTAGAGGGAAAGGGGGACTTATCAAAGCAGAAAACATTAATCTCTAAGGACTGGACATCAGTTTGTATTTTCAAAGGAGCTTTGCAAGAAAAGGGCTAGAGACTTTTTTTTTTAAATGAAAGCTGGGCTTGTCCTTTACATTCATACCCTCTCAGAACTGGGGCTAGAGAGCACGGTTGGGGACTTTGCAGATCACAGAGACCAGCTCACCACATGCTCCATTGTCTTGTTTTCTTGGCTGGCCTTTACAATGAAATGTCAGACGGGGACTCCATGCTTTGGCTATAGCCTCAATAGTTTCTTCTCTCTCTCATATTTGTCAGCTCAAATTAAGATATTGGGAAATCAAGTGCAACCCACAATATGCTTTCCAAGTGCTTGATTGCTATCCATGATAAATGGATGAGACTCCACAGACTGAGATAAATTCAGAAGGGACCATCATGATCATCTAGTCTGACCTCCTGCACATTGCAGGCCACAGAACCTCACCCACCCACTCCTGTAATAGGCCCATAACCTCTGGCTGAGTTACTGAAATCCTCAAATCATGATTTAAAGACTTCAAGTTACAGACAGTCCACCATTTACAGTAGTTTAAACCTTCAAGTGACCTATGGCCCATGCTGCAAAGGAAGGCAACCCCCCGCCACCACCCAAAAAAACCAGGGTCTCTGCCAATTTGACCCAACCCCTTTCCAACCCCAAATATGGTGATCAGTTAGACCCCGAGCATGTGGGCAAGACCTACCAGCCAGACACCCGGGAAAGAATTCTCTGTAGTAACTCAGAGCCCATATAATTTCATATAGAGAAGGTTGGGAAATGATTATTTTTTCTTGCAAATGCTTTCAATATATATATATTTTGTTTTTGTCCACATTTTTATTGGAAAATATTTTGGGTTTGCATTAAAAAAAAATCAGACTTTGAACATTCTTATTTAAAAACTAAAACCCAATTTTTTTTGACAAAAGCAAATTTTCTGCAAATATTTCCATCTATTCAACAAGCTATTATTCCCCCCCAAAATATGTTTCAATGGAAAGTTTTGACCATTTCTAATATCACATTTATTGATTATAGTGTGTTGAATGCAAGATTTAATGCTTCTGTAATGTACTTTCACAGGATTAAATTCTCTCCATGGCCTAAATGTGAAAAACCAATGAGACCTTCACTCACTTGCTCCTGGATTGAACCTACCCCTTTTATCCCGACCTTCCATATGTTAGCTAGCAGAGAAAAAATACAGGGAATGATGAGAATCAAAAGTAATGGGGATTGGCTTCATTTTGAAGCCTCACAATAATCAAATTGACATGTTTGGTGATGAAAAAAACTAAAATAAGGAAAATTGCTCTTTGGCAGTGTCTCTGAACAGGCCTCCAAAAGATGCTGACTTCTGGGCAGTTCAAGCTGCCAACGTTGTGAGCACCTCAGGTTGAAGCAAAGCAAAGCTAACATTGGCCTATCTCAGCTTTGTCACACACCTGGCCATTTTATGAGTATATCACCTGCCTTGTGCAACGGAAAATGTGCATTCCAAATTCTGTAAAACTGAGCTAAATATATTCCCAGGGAAGGAATAATTCTCAGGGTTATATTTTCTAGTTTGCCTTAATTATTTACTACTTTTAAAGTGAAGACGACAAGGATGAGTCTTATGTAGATTAAAGTCCTTATTCAGGCTTTATCAGGCCAAATTGTGCAGTGCTTTTTCAGTCTCTGCATGTGAAAAAACTTCTGTCAAAGTCCACGAAGGTTTTTTAGCAGTTAGGCCCTG